GTTAGAAAGATATGGTTGGAGAGTTTCAAAGAAGTTTAAATATAGGAAGGGAAGACCCATAAAAGTCTATGACAAACTGGCTGGTCTGACCTATGAAATGGACTTGGAAACAGCACGCACAAATTATCCAAACAGGTTAGAGAGGTTAGAAGAAGAACGTCTTATGGACATGCCTTTCGATGTTACTGAGCCACAGGTTGAAGGACACGACGGCTTTGCCAGATTCTACTGGAAACATGACGAACAATTGCATCCTTTGAGGAGGAAAAAAGGAAAGGGTGAAGACGCACATGCTCCCATGGAAAGAACAAGATATGCATATGAAAAGTATCGTGAAGTTAGAAGTCAAATTACATCTGGTCGAACCTTTACAGTAAACTTTGACGAAGGAAAGAACAAAGAAGGCTTCATGGGTGTACTTGCTGCAATTCAAGACGGAAATAAGAAAGGATACAATCTCAGATTGACCATAACAGATTTGGACGGTCATATATACTATGCGCATGGCAATGTCACAACAGCTGCAATGCTTCTTGACGCTTTCAAGACTACAAAGAGAGAACAAATGGTTGACTCCGACTCAGACATTTTGAATGCAATTGAAGGAATTGCAAGTGTCAAGTTCGAATGGTACCAACCTAACCCTCAAGCAGTCAGACAACATGCTGGATACTTCCCCTTCATAAATAAGTCTGACATTGACTTGACAAGGTATGGAATTTACAATTCAATTGAAACAATTGTCAATGAACCTTGTATTCTTACATGTCTCAGGAACTCTGGTCTTGTTTCAGAAGAGAAGATGAAGTATCTTGAGTCATGTGTGAAGACAAGGTACATTCTCAGAGGTCAATTGGCAAAAATTGCACCGTTGGCAAATGTCAATATCCGAGTCAACATACCTACAGCTAAAGGTTCTTCACATGACGACTATGTTGTTGACAAAGACTTACCATGGTTGAAGATTGCAATTGTCCACAACCACTTCATGTTGAACGAAAGTCTTACAAACCCATTGTTCGGAAAAGGCAAGTGCAACATTGTCAGAGCTGTAAACATTCTTTTCGAGAAAGGTTTGTTGGAACCAATTCCAGATGACAAGCTGACAGAAACTTTTGTACCAAAAGACGAAACAAACTTTTCATTGTTAGCAAGACCAAAAGTTGTTCCAGACAAAGTTCTAGTACAAAAGAAGTACACAATTCCAAAAGGAGTTGGATTGTTCGGATACCAACCTGAACCAGAAGAACTTCCAATGAGGTTGCAAGAACTTCAAGATGCTATAAACAAACTTCCATTGAGACATCCAATTGACGTCAAATTGTATTGGAGAGCTTCTGAGTTAGGTCAGAAAGGTTTTATATGAAACAGGTTGCTTCGACGATGTTTATGAGATAACAGGAGAAGTTTCTCAGAAGATAAGAGACTCACTTGAATTTCCACAAACTGGACCAATTGGTTGCGACAAGTTCGACTCAGATGAAAAGATATACTATGTCGACCTTAACGCTGCATACATGAGGTTTGTCCAATATATCCCGACTGGAATTCCAAACGAAGATGGTGAGTTCCCGGGAAGGAACTATACAGTTGGAAAAGTCATACAACAACTGTATGATATTAGGAAAGCTTCAAACCCCAAACTTGCAATGACACTCAAATTGCTTATGAATTCGACATGGGATATTCCATTAAGAAACCTCAAGAGATGAAGAGTAAACATTATGAGAAGGTCGACAACTTTGTTGAAAGGTTTTCTCCTTTTGTTTTGAAGTACGAATTCACTCAAGGTCAAAGTGGCTTAGTAACCACATTAAAACCTATTGTCGAACATTGGTCTTACCCTCAGTTCGCAAAGGCAGTCCTTGACAACTACAACAAATTCTTCTCCGAAGTCAAATCCAAAGTGAAGGTTTACTATGAGAACATTGACGCACTCATGACGAACGAAGAAGGGTACAACAAACTCATTGAAATGGGCATGGTCGGTGAAAAGATGGGCTGTTTTAAGCTAGACAAGGTATTTTCCGAAGTTCATGTAATATCGAAAAGGAAATATTGGGCCATACTTGAAGACGGCACAGAAATAAAACATTGCATGAAATAGTTAAACATTGCATGAAGTAAAAACGTTTTTAAAACCATATATTTTTACATATATTAAATGTTTCAGGTTGAAAAACAAAGAACAAAAGTAGCAGATACAAAACCGTTAGACTATATCTTTACAAACGCCGGTAGGACTATATCAGATGAAGAAATTTCATCCCGTACTTACAGGTTTGACTATCCAATTCGTTGGCTTCAAAGTCCTTCAGATGCAAAGGCAATAGGATTTAGAAGAGTTTTGTTTTCAAATAGAACTAACGCTTTTATGTTTGCAGTATATTTTCATGGTCAGTATAGAGGTTCTGATGGTCTAATAGACAAATTTGATGAAATGAGAATCTTTACAATTCGTTCAGACGAAAACCTTGAGAAGACTCTAAATGACTTTCAAACTCAAATAAACAAATACTACTGGGAATTTCAAGAAAAAATACGATTCTTTACTAAATGGAACATACTATCTGAAACTAGAATATGACAAGATGAACTCCACAGTTTCATTTCAAAGGATTGAAAATAACCCTCCAAGAGATACACAGTTTTTATTTTGGGAAGTAGACAAACGTTCTTGGGCACAATTTCTTCGGTTACTAAACCAGAACGAACCATTACCACCTGACGGTCCGTTTAAATTTATACGCCCACCAACAGATTTGACAGTTTATAGAAACGTGTTCGACCCTCAAAATGTTATGTGTCATGCAAGTTTCAGTTCAAGCAACAACAGTTTTCTTTGTATCGGTAAGGACTTTTATGACTTTGCTTCTAAATTCTACGAACCACCTAGTAACAGTTTCTCTGACTTTCAAGTTTGGTTCACAACAAACGGTGTGCAGCATATTATTCCATTATACTATGACTTTTATCTCGAATTGTCTTTCATATACAACTACGGAAAAGTGCTGAAAAAGTATTGAAAAATGAGTTTTGGTTAGATGGTTTTTTAGGTGTGCCTATGTGCCTATGTGCCTCGGTCATTTTAACTTCTTTTAAAAAGTGTGACAACACGACATTTTGACAACATCGTAGAAAACACACAAAACTCTTGAATTTTGTGCTGAAAAAGCAACCGCCGGAATTCCGGCGGTTGGTATATTCTTCACAAAATGCTTGTTTTGAGGTCGAGCCATTTTTGGCCCCACCGTAGAAAACACACAAAACTCTTGAATTCGGCAAAAATATATTTTAGGTGGAACCAGGTCACCAGGTCACCAGGTCATTTTAACTTCTTTTAAAAAGTGTGACAACACGACATTTTGACAACATCGTAGAAAACACGCAAAACTCTTGAATTTTGTATAAAAAAAGCAACCGCCGGAATTCCGGCGGTTGGTATATTCTTCACAAAATGCTTGTTTTGAGGTCGAACCACAAACGGATGTCCGACGGTTAAGCCACAAACGGATGTCCGACGGTTAAGCCACAAACGGATGTCCGACGGTTAAGCCACTCAAAAATATTTTTTATTTTTATTGTACGTACTGAAAAAATGACAGTCGAAGCAAAAACGTTCACGAACAAATCTAATGGCGAAACATTCACAAAAGGCACTTACAACGGTATTGAAGTCTTACGTAGAGACAAGGATGGTTATATAAATGTAACAAATATGTGTCAGCAGTTTGGGAAAGACTTTAGAAAGTTGTTGGAAAATAAGTCCTGGGAAGAGTATTATACGGCATTTTGTGAAGAATATACCAACCCGCGGAAAACAGCGGGTTGCTTTTTATACAAAGTTCATGCAGGAATTCCTGATGAAATCAAACAGGTTAGAGGAACGTATGTAGACCCAAGACTCGTAAACTATATAGCAATGTGGGCTTCTCCAAAATATTGTATAGCAGTTGGAAAAATTCTGGACTCCATAGACAAGAAAGTTCATGAGAAATTAGATGAAGAAGAACTTGAAGATACAGTAGAGAATGCAAAACCTTTGTTCGAAGAAGAAGTTAGAAAAATGCATGAAAAACAAATAGAACATGAACGTGAGATATGTTCTGGTTATAGAGATTCTCCATACGAACTAGACCAATGGGAACAAGAAGATTTAAAGAGAGAATTTAGAGAATATGAACTCGCTAAAATTTCATTAGAAGCTGCAGAAAAGAAGTTAAAAGTTTGGGGTCGTTTTGTACAAAAATATTGTGAGTAAATGAACCATTTTTTTCGACAAAAATAATGTTTATGTTAGAATGTTAGATCTAACATGTTTTCTAACATGTTTTCTAACATCGTAGAAAACTCTCGAAAATCATGAAATTTACAGCAAAAATAAAGTTTATGTTAGAATGTTAGATCTAACATGTTTTCTAACATGGTCTAAAACTCTCGAAAATCATGAAATTTACAGCAAAAATAAAGTTTATGTTAGAATGTTAGATCTAACATGTTTTCTAACATGTTTTCTAACATGGTCTAAAACTCTCGAAAATCATGAAATTTACACCAAAAATAAAAAATAAAATTAGTTTTATTTTTTTTTATTTTTTTTATTTTGTATAAAAGATATGATTTCAACAATCGGCACAACAACAATTCAAACAACAACAGCACCAAACTCGCTAGTTATGAATCCAACATCTATGTTAGTAGAGATGAAAAACTTCATTCCTTCTTCATATACTTTCGAAACAAAAATCCAGAAGATAAAGCAAGAACTTTTAACAAGTAATTTAGACTGTAGTGCGAAAGATGAAACAAATGAACAGTATCTTTATGAAATGCAGGACATTATTGACCATTTGCCTAAACTTCCTGAAATCCAACAACAAAAGCTTACTATTCCAGAATTCGATGAAATAGAAGTCAAAGCAACTGACTCAGTAGAAATAAAGAAGTTCATACGAAAGGTAAATTATGAATTCCTTGGTTTTCATTGCAACCATAAGGTTATGGACAAAGATTGCGACATGGTATATAAGAACATCTCTGACCTTTACAAATCCGAAGAATTTAAGACCTACGACAACTTTGTTTCATTAGTTGCAAAATGTGTTTGGGAAATAAGAGATAAAGATAGTAGGGGTAAGGTATGGAACGAACAAATAAGACCCGCTATGTTCGAGATGAAGAAAACCATTGACGCCTTAGTTGTTTTAGCAGGTAAGGTTTCAGAATATAACGCAAAAATGAACCCGCAATGTTCAAAATGTAAAGCAGCAATGAGGAAATATAACTACTCCGTCAAAGAGATAGAACGTATGCGAAACGACTATGCAGATTTAAAGAAAGAAGCAGAAAAACCAGCAGAAGATAAAATGGACATGTTAGCATTTCTGAACAAAAACTATCCAACTGCTGACGATTTCCTTCTATCTGATGTCAAGAAGAAGTATAAAGAAACTTTCGGTATCGTTAAAACATTCGATGTACTGACAGAAGAAATAGAAGCTACAAAATTGTTTAGAGTCATGAACCATCGCAACATATACCATGTAAAACGCTTGTAAATAGTTATGTTAGAAAACATGTTAGAAAACATGTTAGATCTAACATTCTAACATAAACATTATTTTTACTGAATTCCGTATGAAATTTCATGATTTTCGAGAGTTTTAGACCATGTTAGAAAACATGTTAGAAAACATGTTAGATCTAACATTCTAACATAAACATTATTTTTGCTGAATTCCGTATGAAATTCTGAGTAAAATGGCATATGGCATGTGTCAAACCGTTGAGTTTTCACAAAATTCCAAAAATAAAGTTATTTTTATTTTTTTTATTTTTTTATCCGGAATATAAAGACAGATATGTCAACAACCGAGAACACAACAACTGCTATCGTCCATGAAGCCATAAATGAAGAATACGAATACATACAATATAACAAACAGTTACGTCTCATTCGTTCAGTCAAAGACGACATGTACCAGATGCAAAGTATAATGAACGCTCTTCGTTCTACAAAGCAAGCATATCATTGGTTTGAAAACCAACAGACAAAAGAACTTTTAGAAGAATTTCCTCATATGTTTGCTACCCTCGAAAAACCGAGGGTAGAGATTCCGTACGAAAATCGTAAAAATTTGGCTCCTGGTTTGAGAGGATATTATGTACATAGACTTTTAGTAAATGCCGTAGCAATGTGGGCTTCACCTCGTTACGCTTGTTATATTTTCATGATGTTAGATGAAATTCATAGACAAGAACGTGAAGAGATGGAAAAGAAACTTCATGCAAAAGATGAAGTCATTGAAGCAAAAGATAAAAGCATTCAGAAAAGAATACCACGTTCGGTACCAAAAGGAAAGGAAAAGAACTATAAGTATATGATTTATACTGAAGAGATGGAAAATGAAGAAGACAGAGATATGGTTATGTTGCATTTAGTCAGAAGAAACAACAAAAGCTTTTACGACCTTGCTAAGATTTACAAATCTGACAGAAATTGGTTCTATCGCGAAAACTTACCGATTTCAATGACACCAAATGAAGATGTGAAACAAATAGTTCAAGATACGTTACCTCAAACACACTATGATATTAAAGGTTGTACAATTCTTACCTTCAAAGAAGACTTACCGCTACTGAAAGAAAAAATAACAGAGTATTTTGACAACTTCAAACAAGCAGAGTAAATGAACTCTTTATTTTTCAAGCTTGACTTCAGATGGCTCAGGTAGCTCTATAAAGTAAATTGCCTTGTCAAATCCTTCTGGCATTCCAAGTCCTTCCATCCGACAGAAAAAGTTTTTCCTTCCGACAGAAAAATATTTTCCCGACAACTGGAAAAAAATTTCCTGACAACTGGAAAAAAATTTCCTGACAACTGGAAAAAAATTTCCTGTTGTTCGTCCGTAAACCATTCAAATTTTCGAAAATTGAGAACTTTTTGGTCGAACGACAGAAAAAATTTTTCCTTCAGACAGGAAAAAAATTTCCCGACAACAGAAAAAATTTTTCCTTCCTACTGGAAAAAAATTTCCCGACAACAGGAAAAGTTCTTCCTTCCGACAGGACACAAACGGATGTCCGACGTACCACCAACCGAGTCCATTCCAAAGCCAGAAGAACCGACAGCCCCAGCACCACAACAGACTTACTAAGACTAAACTCTTTATTTTTCAAGCTTGACTTTTTACAATTTGAACTTTGTTCGCGTAGATATGAATTCTGAAAGAAGTATGAGGGTCTTGTATGACTTTGTACTTCTCCCATAGTTCATGTCTGTCAAACTTACCTGCCATGGACTCTTTCATAAGTTCCATGAAATCGTCTTCGGACAATCCGGGGAAAAGTATAATGTCAGTAAGTATTCTTTTAACATCCTTACTTAAACTCTTTGCTGTCTGTACACATATTACGACTGAGATGTTAAAGTGTCTGAGCTTCTTAAGAATTCGACACATGTCTTGTTCTCTGTTCTTTAACAAAGGATGAGAAGCAAAGTCATCTAAAATAAGAAGACATCTATGAGGGTATGTCTTCCAATCGTAAGATTGCAATTTCTTCGAAATGTATTCTATCTCTTTCTGTTTGTTTCTGAAGTGTTTCTTCTCTAATATTCTCTGCATTTCCTCATTAGGGTCTTTAAACTTCGAATTTATATACTCATTTATAGCATTATACTTCAAAACTCTTCTTTGGTACTTCTTTATCCAATCTAACAACTCAGTATCCTTTATACATACTAACTTAGACTTCTTTATAATATCTTTGAACGAATTGACGGTTTGGTCAAATTGACCAGAAGTACTACAAATAACAACTAACTCATAGAATGGGTTCTTCTCATCTAGTTCTTGTTGTTGTGCAGCCATTTTAAGATAAGTGAAAGTCTTACCAGACCCAGGTGGTGCAATTAGACCTGTTATACCATTCTGAGCAAATAAGAACTTGTCATGTATAGGCTTTATCTGAGCATTTTCTAACTTCCTCTTGTTCTTGTTTAAAACATTCTCAAATTTCTTGTCAATGTCAGCAAACTTTTTTTCTAACATATTTTTAGAAAAATTAAAATTTTTATCTTTTAGAAAATGTCTAGCGATTTCGCTATCTATATTCGAGACAAACTTTTCGACAGCAAAACATCTGTCGACCATAAAATCTTACATAGTGTAAACAAGAAAGGTGAATTTGTTCTAAAGTTCTGTTTCTGGGAATATGACAAGAACCATAAAACATTAAGCAGAGCAGTCTTAAAATTTGTCAATGACAGACTTGTTGACAGAGATGACACCGATTGGAAAGATGAAGTCCAACAAAAGTTCTTAGAATGCAAAGAAGACACATGCGCTGTTCTTGAAGATGAAATAGAAAACAGAATAGATGAGCTATTAAAGGACAAAGAACTTTTACATAAATATAGTTGCGCCAAATTTGACATAACTCCACCAGAGAAGAAGAAGAAGAGAGAAAAGAAAGAAAAGAAAGAAAAGAAAGTAGAAGAAGAGAAGAAAGAACCAGAGCCAGTTCCAGAGAAGGTGAGATATGACATGTAAAAATAAAATTTTATTTTTAGAACATTTCTGGGTCAATGTCAATGTTCTCTTCCTCTTTAGGAGCAAACACTGGCTTAGACTCTAAAATCTTTTTACCCAATTTACCTTGAACTTCAACTATCTTAGACTCATAATATTCATAGTCGTCTGCTTTCTTTGGTTCATAAGGTATAACAAGTTTGTATGCTTTGCCTTCTTCGAGTTTTGAGAACTTTCTGTCAAAATTTTCTTTGACTGCTAACAAACCTTCTATGTCTAAGTCTTCAAAAGTTGCACCACTTTTTCTAACAACAGCAAACTTAACTGGTGCAATGTTCCAAATTTTGTCAAATGTAGACTTTTCAAAATTGTAGAAGTAAACATTCAAATATGCGAATGGAGCTAACTTATCTTTGACTTCTGTCATGTACTTATTTACTGAGATGAATTTCGTCATCTTTTCTATCGGATAAAAAAAGATTTTTTTTTAAATTTACTCAGAAAAAATTTTCTTTGTATATACGCCGTTCTGAACATCTAAAAGATTTTTGACATTTGCCAAGAATGTTCGTTTAGACGCTGCCATATAACCATATTCTTGACAATATTGTTTATATTCATCGTACAATGACCTTTCATCTAAACACTCAAAGTTAGTCTCATCTATAAACAGTTCATATACACTCTTGTTTGCTTCTAACAATGTTTGTCTTTCTTCGGTATGTGGAATTTGTCTTGGATTGAACTTAGAAATATCTAATGTCATGAAATATGAGAACAAGTGGTTGTAAAAGTCAGATGTCAAAGTTTCTGCTAAGTCGTCAAAATATTCTGTATCTTGCATATGAGAATCTGACGTTCTGACAACTACATATCTTCTGTCAGAACTTTCTAACTTCATCGGAACAGCATTGTTTGAAACCATAATGAAGTTTGCAACATTCTCACAAACTCTTTGGTCTTTATACTTTCTTTCAACAACTCCAACTTTGTCTGTTATAAGACTCTTCAAAGCATCTGAGTTCAAAACTTTTGTTGTATCTATACTTTGAAGTTCATTGCAAACTATAAGTTTCATATTCTCTATTGAGGAGTTAAACTTGCCACAGATGTTTTCTAAGTTTGTCATATTCGGGTTCGAATAACCTTCTAACAGTTTGCACAAGATATCTGTAAAGAATGTGTTCTTACCTGTTCCTTGTTTTCCAATTATAATGAGAGCAGTTTCATTTTTAGCACTTGGATGTTGTAAGATGTTTGCAAACCAACATAAGATATACTCATAAACCTTTTCGTTTCCATTGCATATAATTTCTTTGACATGGTCTAACCAAGCTTCTATAATATTTTCTTTCCATTCTACTTGTTCGTATTTATATCCAGTGAAGATAGAATAGAAGTTTGGAGAAGGTGTATAGAACTTTATACCTCGAACTGAAAAATCTTCTAACTTTGACAATAAGATATCCCAAGCATCTAACATCTTCATTCCAACTTGTACAACTTTTATTTTCTTAAGTTTCTGTTTACATTCTTGTTCTGAAACTATTGTCGCTTTAGGTTTGTTAAAGACTACATCCCATTCTTTCATAACATAACATTCTGGGGCAGAGTCGACATAAATGACTAAACGTTTCAAATTCTCGACTGCTTTGTTATAGTCTCTAAATGGACACATATTTCTGAATGCTTGGAAGTCATAAAAATCTGAAACATCTATTCTGTACATTTTTATAAAAATAAAAAAAATATTTTTTTTTATTCTTGAGCTATTTGTTGCATTTGTTGTTCTTGAGCTATTTGTTGTTGAAGTTGTTCTTGTAATACAATACTTTCACCAGTTGCATCTTCCAATTCGAAACTTTCTGCCGTCATTGACAAATACATAGGACATAAAAGTTTTACAGGAACAAAGTTTGCGTCAACTAATGTCAACGTTATACTTGCCAAAGTGTTTGAGTTCACTAAGGTTGAAAATTCTGCATTCGAATGAACAATAGGCAAACCAGCAGAGAAAGTATTGTTTA